TTGATTGATGGTAAAGTATTGTTTAAAATTTCATTGCAAATGGATATCATTTGTGTTCCCATTTTGGATTCAGAAGTTTTAATTTTAAGAATTTTATTCATTGAATTGGTTTGAAATTAAATTTTTATTTTTGTTTTATTTATTATATTTCTTCAAATTTATCATGTTGAAATATGTTATAAATAATAGTTTTTTTGTTGATTAAAATAATTTTTGTTTAACTATTTTACAAAACTTATATATGTTTGTTTGATTTTTTATTTTATTAACATTTCGTTCATTCACTATATATACTAATTTTTAAGAAATTACTTAATCTAATTTTTAAAAATAATTATGTATTTTTTTTTATTATAATATATTTAATAAGATAAATAGGGGTTGAGAAAATTTTAATTTTGATTAAAAATTGTGAGTTTTTTTTTGTTTCTAATTTGGTGTTTAATTTGTATATAGTTGTTAAAGAGAAATTTTGTTGAATTTTTTATTTTTAAAAAAGAGACATTCCCTTTAATTTGTAATTAAGTGTTAGTCAATTTTAATTTATTGACTAACATTTAATGATTTTATTATTTTAATATTTGAATTAATGAATTAGAATTGAGCTTGACAACTATGTTCATTGACTCTGTAGAATAATGGATCGTAATTGGATGAAAGCTAAGAGAATAATAAGAATATGAGAATGGGGTTGAAAGGTTTCTTAGTTTGCTCAAAAAAATACCCTAGTAAAAGAGATGAATTGTACTTTCCACGGTGGTTTCTTACACAACCGCCGTGGAAATCTAACTTTCCACTGCGGTTTCTTACACAACCGCTGTGGAATCCTAACTTTTCATTGCGGTTTTACATAACCGTCGTTTTTATAAACCTTTCAACGTCGACTGTATCAACTTTACCTTCCAAAACCGCCGTGAAAAACCACTAATAACCGTCATTAAAAACTTTTTTTTTCTAGCAGTGATATAACTTATATTCCTTTTTTTTGTTCTAAATGAAAAAAGTTAGTTGAATAATTTGTCTTAGTTATAAATATAAAACTCTAATTTATGTTGTTTTTTAAATATAATTTTTTTCAAACTATTCTTATTGATTGTGTGTGTATATATGTTAAAAGGAGGTTTTCAGCAATTGTGGTAATGATTAAAGGAGATATTTTAGGGCCAACATACATCTTATACAAATAACTAATTTAATTAATTTTTTAATATTTATAAATTAATTATTTAACTTTTAGATTTAGCATTGAATGAATACATATTAACTAATTATATGGAATACTTGAGACTTGAGAGCTAAAACTAAAGCTGAGAACCAACCGGAGGGGCAATCCCAAATATATCTGAAATAATCACTTTGATCATCTCTACAACCAAACTTTAACTGTAAAGCCTCCTTGGCTCTACCTAATACCTAACCCTATCACATGAAATACTTCAATATTTTGGGTCAATGCCTCAAAATTCCATCATGTTAATGAAGCTTGATATTTTAGGCCAATTTTACCAGCTAGGCTGTCCAACACTACAAAGTCAGTTGCAAAGAACTATTTCAAAGTTAGGCATTTTCTTTAAATAACTGCTATAAAGATGCCCAATTAGGCATCTGGATTACTATGTCTATATGAGTAATTTTATCTCGTCACAATTATCTAACTTACTCTTAGGGAGGGATATAAATTAAGCAATTCATTAACTTTCTTTTGAATAATTCATATCCACCTACCACTGAGGTGGGCATTCTCTTCTGAATTCATAAATATTTGCGTTAGTTCACCCTGGCTTCCCCCCACTCCCCGCAAATATGTTTTAGTGTGAATTATTTTCAAGTGGGTCACAGGAAAATTAATTCATTATTTCTTTCTTTGACCGATTTCTTCTCTTTGAAAAAATTAATTAATTAATCAATTAAATTACTAATATATCCAAAGACGTAATAAAGAAACGTGACAAGGAATGCGCAAAAAAACTGTGATTTAATTTTATTAGGAGCATATTTTGGGCGCGTAGTTATAGGCCCATCATTTGGACAGCTGGATGGTAATCTGGCTCTGTATTAAACTTTGGTTCTGTACCCAAAAAGACTTCGGCCCAGAATTGGACCTTTATTGGGCCTATCATGTGGAGGCAAGTTCTTATGGGCTCAACTGTCTGTGAAGATTCACAAGTGGATCGAAGAAGAGCCAGCAAATGTTCATGTGATCCTTTGGGGTTTTTTTTTTAAAAAAAAAACCACAAGGTTCGCATGATTGGTAAGGATTTGGTCTTTTTTGTTTCTGTTTTTTCATGAAAGGCATTAAAAACTAGATACAACGGTACACGGAAGATGTTTCAGCAACTAACATACTAGCTAGTTGACTAATTTAATAATATTAAAAAAAAGTAAGTTAATTATTTGTAATAAATAGATATTGTCTTTTTTAAAATATCCTTACTATAACTATTATTATTAGAAGGACTATCTTGAAAAAAATATATAAATATGACAGACAAAATGAATTGAGATCTTATATTTAGGATTAAAATAAAAGTCAAATGAGATTTTATATTAAGGACATGAGGTAATATTATAAAAAAGGGCTAGGAAACCTAACAGTAGAAAATAAACAACGGAAGTACGTACAAGTAAAACAACATACAACAAAAAACAAAACGTACAAACTGTGAAGATTTGGTGCTTGAGCAGAATGTTGTGACTTAAAATTTCGTTATTGATACGAAGATGTTCTTGGTGGATAATTTATAAATATTATTGTAAGCGTGATTTGAATCCAAAGGCATGTTTTGACCCTTAGTATTTCCCTTGGACCCAACTTATATAACTTTTCTGCTCCAAAAAGAAAAAAAAAGAGCAAAGAGAGAACATATAAATCAAAAACAAAAATAAAGAACAATTTGTCTCCAACTCGCGAGGCTGCATTAAATTAAAAAAAAAAAAATCTAAGCCTCAAGAATTGAATTATGTTTTAAACAAGAAAATACTCCTCTGATCTTAAATATAAGATCCTTATATAAGTATATATATAAGAGTCTTATATTTAGGATCGGAGGAGTATTACAGTAGTACTACCTTCGGTTCTTAATATAGGACATTGTTTGAATTTTATTTTGATCCTAAATATAAGACTCAAATCCATTTTATCTCTACTATTTATGCATTTTTTTTCAACATAGTCTTTCTAACAATCATAGTTCTAACCAATACACTTGATTAGCAAGGATATTTTAGAAAAGACAACACCTATTTATGACAAATAACTAATTTAACTTTTTTTTTAATTTCCTCAAATTAGTTAACTAGCTCTTATAATCAGAACAAGAGGTAATACTATATTGATCATATAGTGATGCAAACTATTCTCCTTTGCCCTTAATTGCGCTCTCACTATCACTGTCCTCAGATGCTTCAATGGTGTTTGACCGTTACGTTGGTAGTTATTAGAGGGGGATGAGAGCTGCTGTAACAGTTGGATCTCCCAACCTCCTAATAACTCTGGCCCATTCATTTATTCATACACAGCTTTTACCCTCGTACGGGAAGATCATAGTTAAGAGTCCCTAATATTACTGAAAAAGTATACTCGACATTCTTTCAGAGAGACTTGCTAATTTCCTTGATTCACTTTGTTTTTATTGAATATTATCTTACTAGGGAGAATTATTACAAGATTCCAATGAAAAAAAAATATAATTATAAAAAAATCTTAATAAGAAATGAGTAGTATGAACATGTTGTGATTTTTCCCATTAAAACTTGTATATTGCTAAGTTGTTGTGAAATTTTTTAGTAATTACATTCATTTTTTGAAATTTTACAGTAACTCTTCCTTATTATATTATGACGTTAGTAGAGTACCACCTCCATTTCAAATATAAGACGTATTTTGGAAAGTGCCATATTTGAATATGCAAGCCATCTGGCGGATTTCTAAGGGCACTCCTTTTTTTCCCCTCCTAAAATGCCTATAAGAATATACTAAAATTATAATAAATGATTAATGTGATAGTACTTTATATCTTGATTCTAAATATATGACTTACTTAATTAATTAACAAAAATTAATAATAAAATTGATTAATATGATTATTTTCCATTATTGCATAAACACTGTGTCATTTTTCTTAAAATACTTCTCTTCTAATAAGGTACTCCTCCTGTCCTTAATATAAGACCCATTTAACTAATTTGATTAGATTAAGGAAGTTAGGTAAATTAGTTAATTATAAGAAAAGTGACACATTTTTCCTAAAACACTATAATCATCTTTCTTAATACCCCCTATTCCTCTTCTACTTGATTATGGTTGAGGGAGTATCTATAGGGGTAATTTAGAGAAAATTGAAAAATATGAGAAATGAGTCTTATATTTAGGACCAAAACCAACTCAACAATTGGGTTCTATATTAAGGACCGGAGGAGTATTAAATAATAATGCAGGACAAAAGAGGTTGAGAAAAGCTGAAATTAACAAGGGTAATGCGAAAAATATTGAATCAGGGAGTAAAGTGAATCAAGATTATGTATTTAGGAACAAACCATATCAATCAAGTAGGTCCTAAACAGGACCATAAAATCCCTCTTCCAAGTGCCTTATAAATAAGACTTGAGGAAGATAGTGATTGGGTAAATGCCAAGACAAAAAGAAAAAAAAACATTTGTGAGTGTCTTGAAGTTTAAAGATACATAGAACTGCTTCATAGTCATAATTACATCTAGTTTATTTGTTAGTAATACTTAATAGCTTCCCTTTTGCTTTTGCTCAAATAGAGACAGTGAGAGGAAGCTATATTCATCCTCAATGTGCTAGGAAAGAAAAGTATTTGTCCCCACATGAATTCCTGGAGAAATATAATATATATGTATATATGTATGTGGGCAATAACACATCCTCCGCAGTGTATAAAAAGACTTTCAATAGTACTCATATCTGATGACAAGCTATAACTTGTTTCACATATATATTGTAGTAATTATATATATGATGAAAAGATATAGAAAAATTATACCTCCATCTGCAATATAACCAGAAAAATACAAGGAATATTAATACATAAACGTATCAGTTCATATATGTAATAAGTATTGAACTGAAATCTTCAAAGAGATATATATATAGATGGATGGATCAAAAGAATCTTCTCATAATCGGTGGCGTCTGCTTTACTGGCTCAGGACCTAACCGAAGCTCAAGGTCCAACTCCATCTTCTCCTCTACGCCGAAAAAAATAGGAAGCTGAGAAATTCCTGAAGAAATACCAAAATTTACCTTTGCCTCTGGAAAAATGGATGGCTTTTTATTATAATTAATACCTGCAGTAGGGTTCTGATGATGCTGATGATCTTGATAAAGATCATCATTAGGGTTCGTGTCAAGAGAGAGCAAATTATTCTCTTGAGAATATTGTTGCCTCAGCCTTGCTCTGTCTCTTCTATGGATGTTCATGTGACCACCAAGAGCTTGAGCGTTTGAAAACCCTTTCTGACAGAAACCACAGGTATAGGATCTCACTTGTGTTGCTTCCTCTGAAGAATAACCCCACCTTATTCTCTCAGACTTGTCTTTGTTTTGAAGTCCAAACTCCATATCTTGGGTTTCTTTGACCAACAGACAAATTTAAAGATCCAAGTACAACGAATAATAAAACTTAGGTCAACAAAGGTCGGCTTTCAGACATTTATATAACTACACTGGAAAACAAGACGTAACAAGGGGAAATGTACGGGTTAGCTCTGTTTAACAACGTCCTAAAAGTAATATATTGAATAAAATAATAGCTCTAATTTTTCCCCCGTGATCGTTCAATGATTCTACTAGACATAATTCCTTTAGATCGCATGGAGAGGATCAATAAGAATTAATATGATTTTCACGTTTGATCTTTTAGTTTTTGTGAAAAGCTATTAAATGATTTCCCCAAGGTTGAAAAGTTAATTCTGGTTTTTAAAGGATGTATTGTATAATATTTGTTGAGTTATCTCATTGGTTAAAACACAATCTTGTAGTACTTCTTTGTACCTTAAAGGATTTAGTGTATATATTAATTAGTTGAGTTATCTCAATTTGATTGCAGCCATCGTTGATAGTTTTTTTTAATCAAAATTAACGTTCTCACGAAAGTACACAATGTAATTTATTATACATATGACAAAAGCAAATCAAATGCTCTATAGTACAATTTGGCCCTTTATATGGCGGCATTAAAATAAAGCTCCTCATTTGCAATTAGAAAATCTCTGTGCTTTTAAATATTAAAGCAAGGTTCAAGCAAATACAATTAACATATTGACAGCCAATCATATATTCACATATGCATATAATAAAAGTTCAGTAGCAAATTTTCCTATGGTCTTCCATGCACACAGATTCAGCACAGCTTAGAACTGAAGCCAAAATACTTTGGGACCAGCGAAGAAACGATCACACAGAACATTAATATTAGTGTATATAATTTTCGGTGAAATTATTAGAGAGTGTGTGTGTGTGTTTGTGTTTGATTAAAGGAAAAAGGTACTTAAAAAAGGCAGAAACGAAATCATTGAACGTCATTGCAGACAGCTAACAGAAGGAGTAGGAAGCTGTCACTTTCTTTGAAATATATTGTTCGCTTTATCATGCTTATGATATTTTAATTTATTTATATTGTATTTTCAATGAGACTTGTATTGATATTATATACTCCTCCGTCTTTAATGTAAGACCCATTTAACTAATTTGATTAGATTAAGAAAGTTAGGTAAGTTAGTTAATTATAAGGAAAGTGACACATTTTTCCTAAAACACCATAATCATCTTTCTTAATACTCCCTCTCCTTCTTCTACTTGATTATGGTTGAGGGAATATCCATAGGGGTAATTTAGAGAAAATTGATAAATATGAGAAATGAGTCTTATATTTAGGACCAAAATCAACTCAAAAATTGGGTCCTATATTAAGGACCGGAGGAGTATAATGATATTGATTTTCGGTCTTGAAAGTTAAAGAACCATAAGATGAAGTGTCGGTACACCTTCGAGTTATATATAAGAATATACAAAACACACAAATAATCTCATCATTAATAAATACACCCCCTCATGTAGGATAAATTGTTTATTTGGCTTGAAGGTGTGAGAATAAAAGTAAGTAAATGGTCAAATAAATTCATTCCATTTGTTCGTGGAGGTGAAACTCTTAAGCGTTCTAAATTTGGAATAATAAGAATTAGGGCTTGTGAGTCTTGGAGGTTTTCTCACCTAATGGAGTGGCCAGTTTTTTTTTTTTTTTTGGCAAGAGTTTTGTCTTTGAACTTAAGCACATAATATCAACGTACACTTTCATTGAGAGGCCTATGAAGAGACTTATTATCCATGGAGGGTTCTGACTGATGAGAGAATAGATGAGTGAAGTATCATTAAAGCGTCATGGAATGCACCCGATGGAGAAGTGTTGTAGCTTATAAGTTTTAGGGGATTTTCTCACCTAGTCAACTAGTATTTGGGGATTAACTCTCCCTTTAAACTAACTTACTTTTACAATGGAAACCTAAATTTTAAAATTCTGATAGAAGCCGGCTGATAAAGTTTGCTTTACTTCTAAACGCAAGACAATCTATTTTATCTTTTAAATTTATAATATTTCTATAAACTATTCCTATTAATTTCGCATATTAAAAGGAATTTCCATTAATGAGGCAGTTTCTAATACAGATAATTAATTAAAGTGAATATTTTAAAAAAATTAATACATATTTTTTTTTATAAATAACTAACTTGACTAATTTTTTTAATCCCTGCAAATTAATTATTTAGTTATTATATTTAGTATTGGTGAAAGAAATATATGTGTTTAAACATTAGTTTCCCAAGTTGACTTAGGAAAATTAGTTAAATTAACCAAACCAAACGGATGATCAAGCAACGAAGTGACATTTATGTCGATTTCTGCTGTGCATGGTTTTCTTTATATGTTCAATGCCAATTAACGTCCAGCATTTTGGTCATAACAAGCTGTACATAGCCCTCATGCATTATTAATTGAATGTTCGTTAAAATACAGTTCTAGCTATGTGATCTTTGTACCAAATAAAATATAAAACTAAAGATAGAGTAGTGTATCATATATAAAGGATTTGGCCACAAGGCAGCAACAAATGATCTTAGCGGCTCAGAAGACTTGTGCATGCACAAGCATTACAGTGACGCAAACTCTAAAAATTGACGTTTCAATATAACAGCTTGGGACAAGTGTGAACCCTTAAGAATGGTATGCAAATTTAAATATATACTAATTAGGTCACCAATAGTTTTTTTAATTATCTCTCAAGGAGCTGATGACCTTTCGAAGAAATTTCAGTTGGGGGTTTAACATTCATAAATGGAAGAAAGGTATTTCGGAATATTCATCTAAGGTTATAATTATATTTATTATGTATCTTCTGCCTCTTGAATTGTAATAGTAAATCGTAACCAGAAAAATTAATTTATTACATTTATTTTATCACAACCACCAGAAATCTAGAACAAAGATTTGATCATATGATCTTGCTATAGAAAAGAAAGATGATGGAAAGTCAAATAATTATCTCATAATAAAATATGCTTACGAAAAACAGGGTCAGAGCCTTTTTGGGGAGGTTGAAATTTGAGAAATAAACGGGAAATAGCTTACTTAATCACAATGCTTGAAATAGTAGTAGTTAATTTTGTTTAAATTTTAAGCCCTTTCACAAGTGTCAAGTTCATATCTACTTGGGCCTCATCCAAACGTGCCCCTAATAATATTCCCTCCCTCCCACTCGATCTCCCCCTTCTTTCACATACTGCAAATTGATTATTTGGTTTTTAATTTGAGAGTTTAGTGAGCTATTTGCTTTAATATTTATATGATTATAATTTTATTAAAATTTGAACAAGATTACTCTTTTTTTTTTACTACAGTTAGTAAATTGTTTAAAAAAGGGAAAAATGTCACGAAAAGTTATACCAAGGTTGTCATCTTTTGTTTCCAACTATATATATATATAGTAACTTTCCTGAATATATATATTGCGGGGAAGATCTTAAATTATTAGATACAATTGCGTGTTATTTGACAGTTACATCGAAATAATAATGGTTTGTTTTTAGATGTATATTCATTGATGATTTTCTTAATTTTTTTTCCACAGAAAAAATGTTACTCAATTTAGCAGGCCACTCTGAAAGAATAAATAAAAATAATGAGAATGAGCTTATATATAATTTAGATTTCAAACTTGTAATTGGAGAGAACGTAAGTTGAGGAGCAGCATATATTGCTGGACTAAATATATTACTATATATATGATCTATTATATCATTACCCAAAATATGAATTTAATTATATGAATGATTTATTTTATTGTGTTATATCATTTACGGAAGTCTTTCGTTCATTTTATTTTCTCTCGTCACTAATTTTACCCTCAAGTCTCAACTATAGAGTATTTGTGAAAGAGAATTTAACTTCAATGCTCATCCGAAAGAGAACATTGACAAAAACAAATTATTATTATTGCTTGGCGGCTACGTAGCCATGATTCATTAGGGAAAATATCAGTCCAATTTGTGCTTGTTGGAATTAGAATTGGACACTCCAAAAACACACTTATCACTGTAATTCAAAATAAAACTCTTTTTCCATACTTTCTAGTACTCCGTCAATCATAAATGAAAATTTGTTTTTGAAGAATCCTACCGATATTCCGAACAAGCATTAACACACACAGATATACGCGCGTCGTCATGTAGCTTTGTTTTAATATATATATATATATATATATATATATATATATATCAGGAAACTTGTCCTCAAATACATGCCCTGTGCATCCCTGGTAACTTAAACAAACGAATATAATACATAGGGATCCATCTACATATCACCGGCTTAAGAATCCAGTCTGTGAGATATCTACGTCAGCTGACACCTATAATTAGGCCTGAAATTAAACGGCATTAATGAATGTTAAGATGCCACATTTTAATCACACAACTACATATCCTCCAGTTCATTGAAGTTCGAAGGTGGCGAATCAGTTGAGCAATAATTGGCTTCTTTTTTCTCTTGACCCTATTTTGTTGAAAAGGGATCTAGTAGTCTAGTTTTCTATTATATAGAGAGACATATATAAATGTTATATACGGATCAAGCGGGGTTTTTATGTCTCACATTATTTTGGGCTATTGAGATTTGAGTGGAAAATGCAGGGTGAGGCATCTCTAGACCCTAATTGTAGTCTAACAATATATATATATATATATATATATATTGATGATACTATTGACTAATAACTAATATGCATGCCTGCCCTCTTCATTACTTGGGTTTGCGTCAATTAATGCTTTCATCTAACTTCTGTGGAGCTGTTACAAATTTCGATTCTTTCATTTTATTTGAAAAAATACATTATTATTTCAAAAAAGATCAATTTCTCAGACGATCTAAAACTGTATAATAATATGAAGGACAAAATAATAATTCACTCAATCTTTTACGGGGAAAAAGAATATTCAAACTAAAATTGAAATAACAATTGAAGTGGACTATAATATATAGATGCCAACTTTCAAACACATGTACAAAGATGTGTGTGTGTGTGTGTGAGAGAGAGAGAGAGAGAGAGAGAGAGAGAGGTAGGGTCAGAGGAATAATGACTTAATTTATGGATGTTCAGTGAGCTCGTGAGCTAGCTAGGAGCTTGTTATAATTCCCATGCAAATAAAAGTAACTATAGATTATGTATACTAATCATAATTTTAAATTATAAATAATATAAAAACCCAGACAACCAATTTCTCTTGCTCAATCTCTGATCGATTCTCTATATATAATTACAATAAATTGGAATTCTCACGCAAGCTCATGGTGATCATTATCAGAATAATATCCCTTTATCCCCTTCTCCCTCTATACACAGTCTATACTCTACAAACAGTGAATAGTCCTATTCTACAACCCCTAAAATGAACCCAGAAACGACACTTTCAACCCATGTGCAACTGCAATACTTCACTGATACCTCTCTGTGTATAACTGACCAACCCAACTCACAACCCTAAAACAAGACAAAGCTCAGCCAATCGCCTTTATATGGCTCTTACACAGATTTAGCATCTCTTTTCCTTTTTATATACCTTTCTTTTTCCTTCTTCCTTTCATTTTCACATGCCAAGTTAAGATTGCTGAAGAACATTATTAGAAAATACAAAATAGAGAAGAGACTCCCTCAAATCATTAAAGCCATCTTCATTCTTTAGCCCATGTAAGGGAATTTAGTTGTCTGTTGAGAGCTGTGACTTAAATTCTTCGGTGTGAAAGCTCTGCTTCAGTGAGTACAAATCCCATTTAAGTCAAAGGGTGTCCAATCATATTACCATCCAAGGAATTTATCAGAAGGAAGTAACCAGAATGATCGCCTTGTGTCCTGCAGCGATTTAAGCGGCAGCAATTGACTACCTAAGGCTAGGGTTTTACAGGAGGGGAATCAGAGTTCACGCTTCAATATTCTCTGTAATTAATGATTTAGGATCTTTTTTTATTAGTTCTCTTCTTGAGTGATCATTTTTAGTTAGAAGGCGGTGTATAATTCTTCGCATTACCCAATGCAAAAATTTTCTTTCGGAATATTTGTCTAAAAGAATCGGACTTGAGTTGCTCAAAAGTGATATCTCTTTTGCCAACAGAGAATTATCCCTTTGGATTAATGTAGTGTTTTTTACTAAGCAAGTAGTTTTGTACTTTATAGTGCACACCTAATACATTCATATATATGCAGAAGAAAAAACAAAAGGGGCGGAGATAGCGCCTATGAGTCGTGATGGGATAATATTCTCTTTGCTGATTATAAAAAATATCAGATTATAATAATGGGATAATGAATTTTTAAGTGGGGTTGATTCCGGAGTAGGTGGCAACTTTTGGAGGGATTTAGAAGGGAGAGGAAAAAGGTGTGAGAGAGAAGGCAAGCTTATGGATGTACTTGGGAATTAGAGATATAAAAGCTAACTGCAACAGATCTGATGATAATAATACAAAGGAAAAGGGAATCAATGTTGGGATGTATCTGACTTTATGTGGCTTTGAGAAGCTAAATCTGAGGGTTTTATGGGATAGTCTAGTGGTACTATTTGATGAGAATGTCAGTGAGGTTCTGAATGGGAAAAAGTGCTCACCATATTCCATGCTATTAGTATCAGATTATTCACCGCTTAATTAAACCTCACACATGCCCTAATCTCAATATTAAACCAACAATATTACTCACATAGACTCTCTCTCTGTGGAGTAATACATATTAGTTCTTCAAAATAATTTTAGTATCAGACAAACAGTTTCTTTGAAGATGAATTGTGTTTAAACCCCATGGAATAGTATTACTTTTACTATGTCTAAAAGGATAATCAATCATTAAAATGATAAACCGAAAACAAAAAAAGCGGGAGATAATCAATTGTTTGTTGGAATCATATTGGGAAGAACGAATTGATATACTCCATTCTCAGACTTAAACACTTGACGTTGAGACTTTGATTACACTAGCTGGATGCCCGCATGTGAGTGTATGTATATGTCCTCTCGGGTTAATTTAAAAGCCTTTTATTGATGAGGATAAAAGCACGTATCAGAAACCCTGGACTGATGCAACAATATCATCATAAATTTTCATACTTCTAGCTGGAATATGTTGTAAATCAAATAGAGGCTCTTATTTACATGATATTCTGGGAAAAATCAATATTATTGGAATCATCAATTACAATGTCAAGTATAATCTGTTTTTCGAAACAAGCCGATCGAGAGATCATCATTATTTTGGCCTCTCTATCTATGAAGTTTATATTACCGCAATACTGATGTTATCACAACCTGCAGACATATATCTAAGGCCCTCATCAGGACTGATCCAATCACACTTGAACAAATTATAGCTTCACTTTCTGGTATTAAAAGAAGCAAATTAAACAGCCAACAAGAATGCACATAACAGAGAAGAAACGGAGAAAAACGAAGAAGTATGTTATCAGGAGGAGATTTTCAATTGTGTATATATGCTACTATACCTTGTGCTTGCTTTGACCCAGCCTTAGCTCCAGATCTAGCTCTTCATTGGAGCTAGGGTTAAATTCAACTGAAGAATTTGAATTTGGGAAGAGAGGAAGAATCGATGAAGTTTCGGAAGTTCTCCTCTTCTTGCAACTAATAGCTTCCTCCTTTGCCTCACTACCTCTACACACGACCAAATTTAAACTAGAAGCCATATCAGATTTTCCACTATCCTCGCACCTGCAATCCAATACCTCTGTGATCTTCTCAGCTTCAGCTTCAGCGAAGTTTGAGCGGTTCGATTTAGAAGAAGAATAGAGAGGAGAATAATTAGAAGCCACCTTATGTCCGTGGGGGGGAATAATAGAAGAAGAATTGTAAGCTGGAACCATTATGGTTTCCTCAGTGTTTGACGATGGAGCTACTAAAGCCTTATTAGAAGGTGAAGCAACAAGAACAGAATTAGGGTTGTTGGTAGGAGAACAATTATTATTATACGGATATAAGAAACCCATAAGTGAAGAAGAAGTATTTGGAATTGTGTGAAGTTCATTGTTTTGGGGGCTTGAGGGTTGCTTCAGTCTGGCTCTATCCCTTCTATGAACATTCATGTGGCCTCCTAGAGCTTGTGCTGATCTGAACTCTCTTCTGCAGAAACTGCAAGTGTATGATCTGGGTGGCCATATGCATCCACCAAGAGGCCCAGAAGCATCCTCCGCGAAAGCTTGCTCTTCCCATGACGAATCATCATAAGAAGAAGAGGGTTTTGTTGATGATGAAGTGATGAGATTACAAGAGCTCAAAGAGTACTTCCTCTTCGTCCACATCCAGAATTGACCTTGTTCCATTATGCCCCAAGAAACGAGAAGGATAATCTAAAGGTAGAATATTGATGACGGATATGATTGTGGAATATACTTTCCTACATCAAAGTGGAGAATTTAAAGCTATAAGTAGGTATCGAAAATATGGGGAGACATAGATAGATATATGGCTTGGAGGGAATTTTTTTGTATGGAAGGTGAAGTGGTGGGTACTCTAACTTGTCTGTCTCAGAGTATAGCTAACTTTTTTGGGGGCTTTGTGGTTGGCTTCTGAGCACACAGTTTCAATACACCAAGATATGAATATACTGACTGCTTTCTCCATTTTTCATGCTTTCTGAGAGAGAAGCAAAGAAACTCAAGAGAAGACAAAATTCTAAGCAAATATATTTTCCCCTTGGTTCATTTAACTTTGACTGAGGTTAAAACTTGAATCTCTTAATTCCTGGACGGGAACGGAATATTATATTTTTATGACTCGATTGATTTTTTTTTTCAAAACAAAAAAATATTTCACATATCATGACGAGCATCTAACCAAGTCCAACTTTACTGAAGTATTGTCTGATTAAAAATGGCTTAGAAAATTAGTGAGGTGGGGTCCAGAGATCGAAATGTATTGGACTTGGAGAATGTGAGATGGCCACATCGTACAGAGACTTACTAGTGAACAAATCCGACTGATATATCTCCGCAGAGAGATCCAGCACAGAGGTGTCATTTTGGTTTTAATTGTCCAGAACAGATGGATCGATCAGTCTTTTAAAATTATATTACAACCACCACCAGTATTTTTTTATTTTCTCTCGGACAGATAAGCTATTTTTTTAAAAATTTTCTGGGATTCAATCTCGCATATTTTCAATGTTATGAAACTAAGTGGGATATTGGAACTTATTGGTAAATTATTACAAGAATTCTTACACAACCACACACTGCTAGTTGTTAACATGAGTAATTAATCATTATGGAACTTGAGGATACACACACACACGCATTCATATATATGGAGCAAGTATCCATCAATTAGTGCTCAATTTATGAAATGCAATAATTTTTCTACCTACGTTAAACACACCAGCACACAGACGATTGATTAGTCCTCATCAGAAGCCACATTTTCAGGCTTGTTTTATAAAAAAAATATTAAATTTGTACAATGTATTTGTAAAATCATTGCGTGCGTACGTGCATAATGTAACGTTTATACTGCAGCTAATCTGTAATATATTACAGCAAGCTAACGACGCTTTTTCCAAATTAATTCATTGTGTTTATAGTTTAGTTTATTGCCCACATACATAAATTGAAATTTTTATTTTTGACTTAAAAATTTTACTTTTGGCTTAAAAAAATTAAAAAAGTGTAACATTAAGTCATGAAAAATAATGTTTAATCAAACTCATGTACTACTTGACGTCCTAAATATGAGGTCTAGTTGACTAATTTAAGTAGATTAAAAAAATAAGTTAGGTTAGTTATTTGTAATAAATAGATATTATCTTTTCTAAAATATTCTTGCTAATTAAGTGTATTGGCTAAAATTACCATTATTAGAAGGATTACTTTGGAAAAAAAAAACACAATATGAGAGATAAAGTGGATTGAGGTCTTATATTTAGGACCAAAATAAAAATCAAACGATGTTTTATATTAAGTACCGAAGGTAACATGACAATGTTAGGTTTTAGTTAATTCTGGTCTGTAATCCTGGTTTCGTTTAACAGCGCTGAACACAAAATGAAAAAGAATTTTGAGTCATGATTAATTTTTCAGTACATTACAATTACTTTAATTTTCTTTTCTTTTTGTTGTATTGTTAGGGAGAAATATTCGGTGGATCCATCTATCTCAATTATTTTGTATTAATAAGCCAAATCGTGCGTCAAAATAATTGTTTGATAGCAAAACTATAATACATGAAAGAGTACTAGGGCAAATATTTTAAAGGAAAAAGAAATTAAGACAACAAGACCAGCAAGGCCTGAGATTTTTCTTAAAAATTAAAAGTAGATTAAATATTTCATTTGTTTTTATGTAGTGGATTTAGGAATCTTGAACCTCGCAAAAAGAATTATTTCAATAATTATGGATGTCAAATTATCAAAACTTTATGAATAAAAACTCAATCTAAATACAAAAAGTGATGAGAAAATGTGCCAAATAAGCTCAGAAAGAACTAATGCCTTTTTCATTTTCATCAAGATGATGCATGCGAATGCCTTTTTTCTCTGTTTTTTCCTCATTCTTTTCAACTTCAGAAAGAAACTCTCAAAAGTTGTAATTGGATTCTAGTTCTTGTATTCCATATGCGGTCCAAAGAGAGGCAAGAGTTGAAAGTTCTGAAACTTTGAATATTTGAAATTCTATTTTCTTCGGAAAAGAAGAAGCCAATCATCATCAAATTGCGTGCATGTTTCATGTTCGTTTTGTTAATTCAATATGAGTGCTATACTTTGACTGCTTTTCT